TAGAAACAGATTACTAGCAGGTGATTTAGTTACTTCCCCAAGCAACGATGATTGGCATTCCAATCACCGATCACTAAGCGTTGGCTGCACGGAGGAAAATAAGCATCAATTATCATCTAATCTGTATGAATATTAGGTGGCTTGAAATTTAAGTGATATTAGGTAGATTGACATTTCTGCTGAATAAGATACACTAATATTTCTAAGTATATTTATACTTAAATGTAGCTTGGTGATTGTGGTACGGAATTTTTACAATATAGCGACGTCACCGCTGTACCATTTTCGCGGTCGGTCGTAGCGATATAAAACATCAACCGGGAATACAAATTTTCATCGAAAGGCAAATATGGGTTTCCTGAATGCAAGCTAACTTGTATTTTATTATTATGCAAAAGTGGGCTTGCATATGCAATATTTAGGTTAACCACTGTTGCATTCATTGAAATAAGACGGAGTGACGAACGAGTGGCACTACTATTTAGGGATGTTTTATGGATAACTATAAATTTTTATATGTGAGTTGTAAGGATGGAGTTTGTAAGAGAAGAATAATTTGATGTAGGAGTTGGGAGAAAGAAATGTTCTACCTTTGGAGGAGATAAATTGTTTGTGTACGGGCTGTTTGAAAAACATCTGAATTTAGCGGCATTTTGGTTTGAATGATGGTGTGAATTCTACGACGTGGCGGAAATATGGTTCCTTGATGCATTGTGATAGGATAAGGGGTGATGGGTTATCACGGTTGGGAATTGTCCGATTGGGTTAGCGGATGGATGATTTTTCTTCTTGGCCGATTTTTTTTTTTTGGATTAATTTCACCAAGTCGTGACGTAGAGGACCGAAATGAGCCTTTCGCCAGAGAACATTTGGTAATCAGTACTAGAACATTCGGCTGTGACATGCGCCCTGCACGTTTGCCGCAACAGGGCGATTACCACAGTCTTTTTATGTACGAATAGTCGAACAACGTCGACACTTAGACAGCCCCAGAGGTCCAATTCAGCTGCATTCGCTGAACTAACGGCAGGCTGCTCTGGTCGGGAGTTTTTCGTGGTTTCTCCGATCAACGCCAGGCGAATGCCCGAGCAAGTAGCCTGACAAATGAGCCACGGACCGCGCGAGTTCTTCCCTTCCTCTTTCTTGTCCTGTGGTCGCCCCGTACTTTCACACACATTTTCTTGCACTACACTAACATACAAGTCGGGAGGTCAGTGTTTAGAGCTCTGTCGGTCCGACTCTTTCCTCCGCTGTGGGAGATTCCTTGTTGACGAAAATTCCGTTTACCTAGGGAAGATCACCGCCATCGTCCGCAATAAAACAAGCGCTACACTCAAGGGATTAATGACCTTAGCCATTGACTCGCCCGGAATCACTCCTGGGCGCACCCCACACTGCGCGGTACGAGCGCCCAATGCGCAGGCAATGGCCTCTCAGGCGCTAAGCAGCGTTCGCGTTTTACCGCAGTTTCCGCTAGATTCAGAGCATTTTCAAATTTTGGTTAGACGCAGAAAAGTCTTTTGCGAGTAACGGAGAATGAATGGAGACATGGTCATCCAGAAGGGACAATGGGGGCAGGTGGGGCACCTGTATCAGACGCCGAATTCATTGCAACTCAGATTATTTTTTATTTCAGAACGTGTAGAAAATGTATTTGCTTCTAATTGTAATTAACCCTTCAAAGTAATATATGTTGCTTGGAGAGATGAATTTTGATGATGTACTGACGGGGATGATTTCAGTTTCAAACGAGCATCCCTCGTGGATCTTGTGCCACAGACCTCTCGTTTTCTCTTGGCGCCACTGATAACGGATTTTACATAATTGTAGGCAATTGGATTAATTCTTGACAAAACACTCGAAAGCAGATGTTGAATTAATTTTCTGACTGATGAATATGGGAAAAGCGAAACTCAGAATCAGAATATAGTTAATGGTTATTGCTATATTGATCATATAATCTTGTATACGAAGGAATAGTGAAAGTTGCCACAAATACATTTTCGAGGCCTTTCGTGGTGTTTAAAACTAATGAAATCGAGAAATGAGTACAACTTCTGAATAAAAATTATGTATTGAAAGTTATCATTTTAATTCAACTATTTTGTAAGGTAATGTATATAATTGTATTCAGTACGGTATAACTCGATTTGTAATTTTAAGGGTCTTTCATATTATTCTGGAGGTAAATGGACAATTATGGTTTGCAGAAAGTAAAGATCTTCCAGCAGTGGAATTCGTATGCTGAATGGCAACAGAGATGCCTGGTAAGAACCTGCTCGATAGGAGGTTGTGATTCAAATTTCTAACCCCACATTTAAATAAAATTCTAGAATATTGATAACATTACTGTTTGAACATCGATGTTTAACCCGGGAGCATGATGTAATGAATCTTTTCATCATGCCCGGGAGTACACGGAAAGTGTCGGTGATGTGCTGGCTAAAGACGTTTGCAAACAATTGAAAGCCGGGATCTTCTAGTCAGCTGAGATACCTAGTTTTCTGTTAACGTTCGTTTCTGAGTAGTTCAGTCTCTCTCATTTCAACAATTATTCGTATATGTTCGTCGTATATGTCGTCGTCGTATTATGTAAAGATTACAATTCAAAGGCCCAATCCTTCATAGATCGTTATTTTTTTTACAAGTATCTAAATTTAAGCTCCGTTTTTAATTAGCTCCCTAGTAAGATTTTAGTAATGTTTCTGTCAGATAACTTTTCTTTGTTATGTCAACAGTTTACAGGAAGAATTTAAGCTGCAACAAAACGTCATTCTAATACATTCAAACACAATAAACCTAATTTTCTTATTCAGTAAAAATGTAGATGCCCAGTACAAATTAAAAAAGTTAGGTATTTGTAGGTAGCATGAATAACTCTGGTCTACAAAAAATACTTTTTTTCTGTAACAAGAAAACAACACGCTACGTCTGCAAGATAATTTGCCTTTCAATTCAGATCTATTTTTAGAATTTTTGTATCGGTGTTAGTTTTTATGATGGTTTTTGCATGTGTTTCCTCATGCTCGTAATATAGGTATCTGGCAAAATGATACACTCTAATAACAACAGATCCACACGTATTCAGTAAGAAATACAACATAGTTGTGTGAAGAAAAGGGAAGAGGAGGCTTGAAATGACACGTCAGCATGAAAATATGTATTCTTGGTTATCCGGGATGAGCCGCATCTCAGGTAATTGGAGCTTCAGAGCAGTATAGCTCTGAAGAAGGCCGCGGCAAGATGGCTGAAACGTTAGTTCAATTAACTGAGATGCGGCTCATCCCGGATAACCAAGAGTACATTGACTCCGGCCGCGGAAGCCTACGAACCCAGCATGAATATATTCTCCCTTGCCTTCTGAATATTCCTCATTGTAGCATTTATCTTCATTCACTGTCACGTCCTCAGGAGGTAGTGGTACCGGTAATTCTTCACTGGCCTTATAGAAGATGGTAAATTAGGATATGGCAGAGTTTTCACAAAGTTTTCAGCTATTTGTGTCAGACAGAAATAAGTCTGTTGTGTGATCCGTTGGTTCCTGGAGGGAACAGCAATCTTGGGAACAGCAAAGGGGAGGCGTCGTGAACATTTTAAAGAGCATCTCTGGAGTGTAGCACATGACTTGCAGCATATGAGGCCTATTTCTTGTCTTGGTCGCCTATCTTACACCCGAAATAAAGTTCATAACACTCCCTTTTCAGAGAATTAAGGTTCGGTGTTTGCGATATCAGAGTTCATTCTTCACAGATATAACATAACGTATTTGTGTTATTTACACAGTGACGAGACATTCTTGCTTCTGCATTAATACAAAATACAATCCTTCACAAACCTTGAACAACAAACACTCACAGCCAAGCCGTTTTCCATGCTGTCATATCTCTCAATGCTGCGACCCAACTGGCAAGAAACACAAGGTGATTTTATCTGTTCGAACATGACCTTTTCATTTCATAAAGATGACTTTTCTAAATTCAGTGTTATGTATGAGAATTTCTTATTCCCATTTCAATTGTTCCTTAACAATTACATCTTCAGAATTATTAAATAAAGCTACATCAAAATAACCCATCTGCAGCATTTGCAAGCATTTCCGTAAATAGAGAGTAGCGTGTAACAAGAAAACTGAGCCCGATAGGCAAAAACTGATTTCATATTCGGATTCAAGTTGAACATTTAACAATCTTTAAAAACTAGAGTATCTAAATTCACTCAGTATTTAATTTGTTCTTTAGTAAGATTTTAGAAATGTTTCTGTCAGATTACTTTGCTTTGTTACGGTCAACAGTCAGATGTTACAATCAATTAAGACTGCTTTACAGACAAACATTTCAAATAAAATTATTATTCTTCATAGTTATATAATTAATGTTTAAATTATTAATTCAGCAATATTCTGTATTGAAATTAGCTTACCTCGTAGACTCCAGGTCGTGCAGTTACTACCCCAGCCCAAAACAGGATCAAATCTGCAAGTACACACTTGGTTGACAAAATACATTGCCCTATGTATACTAATATGTAATTATGTGCCACTGTAAAGTTTTTAAAATTATAGGTTAGGTGCACGAACGTATATATGGATATATATGAATTTTTACTAAAAAGTCACTATTTGAATGGCGTCGCAACAAGTACAAAAAACTTACCAATTACGAAGACATTTCTCTTCATACCTTTGGTTTCATTCGATATTTAAAACAGTTCATTTTCAGCAAAGTTTGTAATTGCACGCTTACCAAGAAACAAACGGTTGCATAAATTTGAGCAGCAGTTATTTCTCATTGTTGGAGCCCATAAACATCGCGATAAAGTGACTTGCTGCAAAATATTTCTACAAAATAATGTTCCAAAATAACTAAAACTCTGTAATGAAATTTTGAGTAGTTTTAGTTAAATTTGAAAACTACTGATATATGAAGAATAAGAAATGTTTAGTGCTCATTTGTTTGAAGATATGTTTTGTTCATTGATAATTCGAGAAAGTGTTTTATAATATGTGGTGTTGGAAGAAGCAATCTCCTCTTATTTCTGAGAAATCGTTACCATCTGTGGCTGAATATATTCTTAGTGAACAATGCACCAAAATAGTTACTATGGCTGGAGCTGGAATTTCAACGGCTGCAGGCATCCCTGACTTTCGAAGTCCTTCTTCAGGACTTTATGCGCAATTGGCGGCGCTCAGGTTGCCTTATCCAGAGGCGGTGTTTGATTTCGACTACTTCACTCAAAATCCGGTACCTTTTTTTCGTATTTGCAAAGAAATGTATCCAAAATTGAAAGTGAAACCGACACTAACACATTATTTCATTAAACTCTTAGATGATAAAGGTCTTCTGCTGCGCCATTACACGCAGAATATTGATGGTTTAGAACGAAAAGCAGGATTGTGCGAGGATAAATTAATTCAGGCGCATGGAACATATGAAACAGGACATTGTCTGAAATGTAATAAAGGGTACAGCTTAAAATGGATGGAAACGTATGTAATGTCCGACACGATTCCAATGTGCATTGCATGTGGTGCTTTAGTGAAGCCTGACATAATATTGTTTGGCGAAGGAATACCCCAGAGGGTAGTGAGCAAATGCAGATCCGATTTTGGTAGTTGTGATTTGTTACTGATATTAGGATCTTCACTCACTGTGGAGCCTATTGCATCGTTTGCTGGCCTAGTCAAGAAAAAATGCCCACGTGTTCTCATAAATCGAACGCCTGTTCAGAAACGTGGATTTAGATTTCAAAATTCAGATTCTAGAGATATCGCTTGGTATGGAAATTCCGATGAAGGCTGCAGTACTTTGGCCCTGTATCTCGGATGGGAAAAAGATCTAGTTAAATTAATGGGAAATAAAGTATAATTGATCACGAAAATTTAACTTTGATTGCAATACTTGCATTAGCTTTCTGTTAATTAGTTACTTTATATAATACTGAAATAATACTTAATTTTATAAGTGCGAGTATTAGTGTTATTGTAGTTAAATTTTATTGAAATAAATGAATTTTAAATTATTTTTCATTTCTACTTTCTGAATTATATCATAAATAAGCGAATGGTAAGTCATCGTTCTTACACATAATTCGATATATCTAAAGAATGGTGGCACGAATCCATGAAAATGGGCATTTCTAAGACATTACTCATCGAATCAGCAGAATTATTAGAGGTGCCATCTATCGCTGAAAAATGAATACTTCAAATGGACGTTCAAATGACGTGTTAATTCACGAACGGCAAGTAAAACAAAACGAACAGAAGCCGCGCTAATACATCGTACAAAACCGAAATATCTGAAGAAACGTTACAACCGAATAGTACTACATACACCCACGGAAAATCGAAAACATCAAAAATATGTTTCATGACTTTTAGTAGTTATTTTCCAAGACTAATAAATTGATAGGTTTACAGATTCTGGAACATTAAAATCATTTCTCAGTCATATCCATCAATACTGGACAGCTTCAAAATAATAAGAGAATTCCTGGAATGAACAAATGATTGGGTCACGATTGATTGAAGTGTCAAACAGGAACATTCTTTTGTGTTTGTCTCTGCGAGATCGACCAAGCCTAGACCAGCAATGATCAGATGAATGTTCCAGCACAGTGCAGAGTGTGAATATTTGGTTCATGATATTATTAATAATAATAATAATAATAATAATAATAATAATAATAATAAGAGTCATATGCGGCAACTAATAAACGTGACGGAGAAGTTCACTGACGACATTAAGATGAAATTCGGTTTGGAATAAGTGTAGGAGATGAATATCATTCGCGGTCATATGCCAAGTTATAAATTTGAAACTGATAATGAAGCAAAGATTACCTTTCATGGAAACCCCATGAACTTAGTCAAATACTTGGGGTTTCCAACAGTCACTCCGAATTAAACCAACTGTTAACTAGAATTACTAACAAATGAAGTGTGTGTAAACGATGTTGCATGGGCTCTTAAAAACTCAACTCTCTGCCCTAGAAAACCTTTGCAGGCCATCAATTCATTTGTTATTCCAGTGCTTGACATACTCCTTTGGCGTTATTAAAATGGAGACAATACCGACCTCGACAACCTCGCAGAGAACAATTCGAACCGCTGACTCAACACGCGGAAAACATCATCCCCATTCAAGTACTGAGCGTTTTACCCTTCAAGGTCGCAAGGAGGGCGAGGTATTGTAGATCTTCATAAATCTAGTTTACAGCTCTTCAAATTGCTTCACTCAGAAGATACTTCTTGGAAACATGTGTGGGAGGAGTTCAGCCAAGCAGTGACGCAGTGAAAATAACTATGTCGCTCTGAACTTGAAAAAGCTTGATCCGCCTGCTTCAACGCAATCATTTGAAACGGAAGAGAAGATAACCTTATGCTAACCAAAGGCACTGCATGAATGGTACACTCACGAGCTGAGGGTAAAACCCAGACGTCGACATCTGCTGCGTCGCACGCATATGGCTCCAGCACGGGGATCTTCTTTCCGGAGACAGAAGCCTTCAGTGATAGCTATCCAGGACGCAAGTGATACCAACATTGAACTACAGAAAAGCACCATTCTGAGAATTCTACCATTCATTCCCGACTCTGTAGAAAGATGTGAGGGCTGGCAAGCGAAATAATCCACACGTAACAAGGGGATGTAGCAGCCAACGCACAGGTGGAATACAAAAAGAGTGCATGATGAAGTGGCGAAGCAGGGTACACCAATTATTGGCGTTGAGAACGGGCTTACTCGCCACTTCGTGCCGTATTATAAATATGGTCTCAGATGTGCTTGAAAGTAGTGAGCACCACTCTACTGGGATCGTTCCATTATCAGCTGACAGACATGTCGGCGCAATAGACCCAGATATACGTACATTGATAGAAACCCAACAGCAGGTTTTCCTTATCGATATAATCAATACCCCTCAATACCCACAACATATCGGGAAAATATCAAGAGAAGATCCAGAAGGTAATACCAATCTCGCCTATGAAGTCCTAACTCAGTGGAACTTCAGTAAAGTGACGACTGTGCTATAATAATATCAGCTACGGGAGTGATCCCGAAAATTGGACACTTCGGGCACTGGAGTGTCTTCACTTGGATACGCAGGGAATGTAATAATATGCCAAAAGACAGAATTTTGAATGCATGCCGTATTGTCAGAAGCCATCAGGGGGGGTAAACCTTCAGTAAAGCAACCACAACACGCTGGGTCATTCATACCTGTGTGTGCGTTGACACTACAGACCAGTAGGATACTGTGAATAATGTAAGATAAAATAATTAAAATAATAATAATAATAATAAATAATAATAAATAATATTATAATACAATAATAATAATCAGTCCCCTATTTTTAAACATTCCAGGCGAACAACCTTCTCTTAACCAAGGGTTTCGGCGCTGATCCCCATAAGTGAATTGTATATATATATATATTATATATTATAATATATATTATATATGTGTGTGTGTTGTGTGTGTGTGTGTGTGTGTGTGTGTGTTGTGTGTGTGTGTGTGTGTGTGTCTGTGTTGTTGTGTTTTTTGACAATCGTGAGTTCGACAAATCGCAGTTAAAACTATTTCCCAACGATATGTGATGCTTGAATATATTTTTCAATAGGTAAATTTCTTTACTTTCAACATCTTTAGAAGTACTCAGACAACACGGAAAATGATCAAAAATGTTTATTCTGGACTTATCTTTAAAAAGTTTCAATTATTTTTCAAAATCACCTTTTGCAACTGAACAATATATCAGTTTATACATTTCCATTTTCCAGAGTTTATATATTACGTCTTTAAATGATAAAATCAATATATACCTGTATTCAAAAATGCCAATAGTGTCGAACATTGTGTAAAAGTTTTTCCAAAAACCTACGATTCTTTTCAAAAAAAGAATATATCTTTCCGAACGCAAACTGAAGTGCCTTTCTCCAGCTAAGCCAGCGCACTAGAGATAATTCATATCTCAATTTTCACTACCTAGCTGTGTCAAAGCTCCTGAAATTTCCCGTGAATAAGTCCAAGAGTTCTTACAACTAATGGATTACGGAGGAGAGAATGATGGGTACTGCCTTACCAGAGGATGCTAATAGTCAACACTGAAACAAGACAAATGCTTTCGAAAAACAGTTTATACATCGAACTAATATTTTGAAATGTGTGTTTGTGAAAGTTAATTTAAAAATATCCATGGTAATTTTATGCAATGTGATGAGCAACCCATTCTTCGGTCCACATGAGATGTGCTTCGCTGGCCGGCAAGTTACCGATGCCTCGTCTGTAGCGAAAAATTAATGTAATTTTTCTTTATATCTCCGCCTGAAGCCTCTCCGCTATTTCTTCGCCTGTTCCGTTCTCCCTTTATCTCGCCCCGCTCACCTCCCAGCTTCGTCTGCTCTTCTTCGTCCCGCCCTCGCCCGCCCCGTTCCGCCGCCGCCCGCCCCCGCCCGCCCCCCGACCCCGCTCCCCGCCGCCCCGCCCGCCCCGCCGCCCCGCCCCGGTCCCGCCATGCCATATCACCCCGCCCACAACCCGTCCTAAACCCCTTACTGCGCCCTTACACCACTTCTCGCACTCTATAACGATCCTAATTTGCTTGTGAGCGTTGCATTTAACAAAACATTTTATAAAAACAAATAAATTGGAGGCATTAGTACCGCAAACACATCCCGTTTTTCTCAACCGCTGCAAAGTATTCTTGCAAAGTTTGGTTAAAATTGCTTCTCGCGTTTCAGAGTTATTCAGGATGATACATTTAACACACACATGCATCAATTTTTATATATACAGGAATATAAGATTTTAAATGTTTCCTCTTAATGTCAAATTGGATCAGATTAGATCAATATGTGTTTTTTTTCTGTAAGGAGTTTTCCAGGCAGCAAATAAATACCTTTTATAAGAGAGAAAATTCGTATTCGAAATTTGTATTGTATTGAATTGTATATAATAATATTCCTACTTACTATCATTAAATCCAATGCAAATTAGTCATACTTCTTCCAAATAAAGTCCTGAAAGGCGACAGACAGAGAAAAGCATTTAATTCTCGCCAAAGACCAATAAAAGTTGTATTTAGTAATTCTTCTAACTTGCGATTAACCTGTTCAGTACAAAGTGCATATGAACTGAATGGTGCTTGTTAGTGAATATGATGACTGCATATGATGAATGTAAGTTCATTAACACATAAACACATCTCATCCAATGCCGTGGTTATCGCAAAAGTGAGTTGTTGAACAGTGACATGGAACGGCAACCACTAGGTGTGTGCGTTTGAATTCCGCGAGTGAATGTGACGTGAAATGCAAAAGAAAATCGCTGCGAATCCCGTGTTCATGCTTGCAGGAACGCCAACTACAAGTTTTCTGTACTTACTCACCAATATTTTGTTTGGGATATGGCATTAGAAGAAGAATTTGTTCCGGATATTTACTTAGAACATTTCTAAAATAAAAAAGAGTGCACAAAAAAATTATTAAAAAGTGATTTGAACTATTTACAGTTGTAATTTAATTAATTTTTGACAAAGTAAGGAAAAATGTAAGGAAAACTATAAAAAAAACGAATATACTAATAGTTTAGAAGATTCAGTGAGATGGATGGACTTGTTTGGTGCCAAACAGTTCAGTTACTCTCGACAATGATTTAGAAATGGCAATACGCATATCATTCTGGAGATTTATTCTCGATCTACAATTTGACTTGATCTACGCTATGGCTGAAAATTTGGTTTCCCATAGATAAGTAGTGGCAAAAGGAAGCAGAAAACACAAATCTTTCTTTAACCCTGGATACAGACTCCTTACGGAACACCAAAATTCGAATAATGTTACAGTTTGATACAGTCTTTAGT